CTCTCTCTCTCTCTCTCTCTCTCTCTCTCTCTCTCTCTCTCTCTCTCTCTCTCTCTCTCCCCGTGGTGCGCTCAGATGGAAGGATAAACATTTGAATGAATCCTCCCCCTTCCGCACACGTGAGAAAGACAGAGTTGCAGCAAAACTGTCGTGCAATTTCTCTCTCTCTCTCTCTCTCTCCCCCACACTTTTTTTGGGAGGATTCATTCGAATGTTTATCCTCCCGTCCACGCACACGCGTGAGAGAGAGAGAGAGAGAGAGAGAGAGAGAGAGAGAGAGAGAGAGACGCGGCTTTTCTGCTGCACCCCTACACAGAGGGGCACAGCAGAAAATGCCGCGTCTGTCTCTGTCTGTCTGTCTGTCTGTCTCTCTCTCTCTCTCTCTCTCTCTCTCCCTCTCTCTCTCTCTCTCTCTCTCTCTCTCTCTCCCTTGCACGGACGGTCGTAGCAGAAAATGCCACCTCTGAAACGGTTTTCACCTGTTAGCAGTAGCGAATGCAGATCCCAGGGCTCAATCCCTAGTTCTCACCTTACCTGTGAACAGTATCTGTGTCGACCCCGAGTGTTTGAACCCGTGACCTGTGTTTTGACAGTTGTTGTTGTCCATTGTAGTTCTGTGTAGTGGTAGGCGTTCGATCTGTAGATCTGTCAAGTAGGAGTCACAGCCCTGTAGAGGTCGTAGCTGTGGGAATCCTGAAAGGTCAAGGTCGTAGCTGCTACAGTACTCGAAAGGCCAAGTCCACAGACTTCCGGAAGGTCCGGAAGTGGCCTTTCAAAGTTGCCTCTCGTTTCAGTCAGAGGCGAGTGGGCAAGTGGTGAGCCCAGCTGCATTACATCGGCAGTGCGACTGCATTGAGTTGGCAGTGCAAACCCATGCAGTCAGCGGCACCGGTCCCAATCAGTCCCAGTCCAGTCAAGCAAGTACCATGAGGGACTGTGTGCACCATGGGCCGATGGAAAGGGGGCAGACCAACGAGTTACAGAAAGTATAAATCAAGAGGCAGCGCCCAGCCATTGATTCATTCCTGCGTAAGCCATGCGGAAGCGCTGCCACAGTGACTTGTGCGAGGTGGTCTGCGGTGAGCCCGAGGACGAAGAGGGCGAGAAGGAGCTTAGCCATAGCGATAGGGGTAGCAGCGGCCGTAGCCACCATAGCTATTAGAAGGGAGTAACATGTGTGTGTGTGTGTGTGTGTGCGTGTACAGCGTGACGCGTGTGGGATATCCAGGGTGATCCGGTGTGTGAACAGCAGCGTTGTGCGAGTGACGAACAGGGACTTGTATGGGCGAACTGCCGCCATAGCCATCTGAAGTGAGATCGTATCTGAACTGTGTTCGTGGTTACCATATCTTTGAGTTTTGAGAGGGCACTTGTCGCCAGTTTGCTGCGTAACCTGTTTGCATGCATGTGAGGTGTGAATGAAAGTGAGTCTGATTGCACCTCTCTCTCTCTCTCTCTCTCTCTCTCTCTCTCTCTCTCTCTCTCTCTCTCTCTCTC